AGAAAATGTATACCATTCGACACGCCTGAGCTAGACAAACACGATGCTGCTAAAATCGCGGATCTGCGATCATTTTTAGCGAAGTTATTTACCAAAAACCGAACATGTGCCTTGGGCCACTTGACCTAACCTCAGAAGTCATCGGCTGATCCTAGTCCTTAAAATCGGAGACCAATCGCTGCATTTCGTAACGACGCACACGATCGTGTCTTTCGTGAGGCTCTAGCTCAATAAGGGGCGAATCGGCGAAGGGGGTTGTTCCCTATCTTCCAACCCCCCAACGCCCCCTCGGTATTCAGAAAACCTGAAGGTCCGGTGAGGGTTAAAACGTTGCTCCTGAACGAGGAAGAAATGTCAAAGCTCTATAGACGTCCTGTAAAAGTGGCCATAATAAACCAGTAAAACGCCTTTTGGGCGAAGGACGAGCGAGCGAGATAGTGAGCCCTGCACGTGCGGAAGGGCGAGAGGGTACTTCCAACGGATTTGTGTAAAGCACCCTTCTAACCGGTCGCTAGCGGTGTACCAAATTTGAACGCAATCGGCCCAGCCGTTCCTGAGATTTGGAAGCGGCATTCTGCACGTGCGCACGTGCAAACGGGGTTTAAACTGACTTTTGCACGGCACCCTCCTAACCGGTCCCTAACCGTGTACCAAATTTGAGCGCAATCGGCCCAGCCGTTCTCGAGATCTGGAAGCGCCCCCTGCACGTGCGCACGTGCAGTAGCACCCTAACCGCAACACATGGGAATGCATTGCCTGGTGGGTGCCTACCTGTATGCCAAGTTTCAGCGAAATCGCCCCAGTAATTACAGAGTTATTGAAATGGGAACAAATTTGACACCTCTTATGGTAGTATTTTGCACGTGCACTGGGGGTCACTCACATAGATCAAGAGTATTCAACCTTTGGTAGAAGGGATGCAGCTACCGTATAAAAATTACCGCAAGACAATCGCTCAAGCCGCTGCTGAGATATGGGCTTCTCAAAATCACTACTTTCGCAAAACTGCTTGAACACCCTTGACTTTTCACGTGGCACGTGCCACGACGGTCACTGAGATGTATCAAAAGTAGTCAATTACGGGGTAGAAGGGATGGGGCTACCCAGCAAAAAAGACCGCAGGGCAATCGGTCCAGCGGTTCCTGAGATATAAGCCTCTCAAAAGCGTTACAGGCCGGGCCGGGCCGGGCCGCTCATACTGAGATTTTTCCCTTATATTGAAAAGACTTCGCTTCGCTCGCCGCGCTCGCTCGCTCGTAATAAATTGGTTAGAGATAAGATGCTTTTTAAACGACTTCCTCATACAAAATCGGGTGCTGGGAACAATCTTATAAACGCTTTTAGAATGGACAGGGCGTCACTGACCAAAGTTTGGGTGCAGAAAACGGCTATTAAATGCAAAATGGTGTTCATGCATTTCAGTCCATTGTATATTGACGGTCCCAGTGGCCGAGCTAAAAAAGTTTGGTAGTGTTTTGCATCTTTTACGCCCTAAGAAACTACACCATCTATTGAAGTGGGCGGGCTTATTTGAATAGGAAGGCGCATTATGCGTCAATCGTGTGCTTTCGTTTGTTTTGGACTATTTTACCACATCCACTGCTGCTATCACTATTAATATTATCTAATGCCGTGAATACGACAGCATTCCATTTATAAGATTGGGCCAATGGAGTCGCGCCCTGCGAGCTCGGTTTTCCGCTCGGCCGCTACGGGCCGAGGAAGTCGGTCTTCGCCTGAGGGCAGGACGGAGGTCAGTGAGGGAGCGCGGGGTCAGCCAGGTGTCGCCCAGTGCCGAGCGGATGCCGCTCCCTCCCCTCTCTTCCCCTCTTCTCCCCTCCCCACCTCGGTATAGATGGGGAGGGACCGAACTGCCAATGACATGCGAGCGGTCAAGGCCGCTCGCGCGGCAGCGACCCTGGCGGCCGGGTGCCGCAACTGGGATTCAGCCAAGTTACCGATTCGCCTCCTGTGGGAGAGCCAAACCAGGGGACATACTTTTTAGACATACTGTACAGCCGTGGAGTAAGGTGCCCAGAGCTAGCTGTGGAGTCAGGTGTCCAGAGCTCAGAGGGCCAGCCACCAGCCGGTCCACAGAGTCCGACGGTGGACCGACATCAGCTGATCGGTCCCCGCTGACGTCAGCTGATATCAGCTGATCGGCCCCCCTGACGTCAGTGGGGGCCCAGCGTCAGCTGACATCAGCTGATCCGCAGCCGGTGACGTCACCGCAGCAGACAAAGGCCCGACTTTCTCGCTCTCAGAGTTGGGCCGACACGCAACTGGTCACAAAAACTGGCCTCCGTTCGACCGGCCGACCCAAACAGCGGCGCCCGCGCCGTCCCGGCCAGCTCAGCACCCGCGCAACGCGGGCAGCGGCGAGACAACGGCCACGGGTAGCTGTTAACTATGGCTAGCTCCTCGCAACGGCTAGCTGGCAGCCTTTGCTGGCTCCTAAAAACCGCTTGCTCTCCGCCACTGCTAGACGTCAACTACGGCTAGCTTCTAACTGTAACGGCTCCCAGTCACGGCTAGTCTTCAGTCTCGGCTAGCTCCCAGTCACGGCTAGTCTTCAGCCTCGGCTAGCTCATAGCCTCAGCTATATCTCGATGACAATACAGTACCCTGGGCCTGGTGTGACCAGCTGCCCGGCGTGGCTACCTCCGCTGGAGCAGCCCCGTGTGATGACTGCCGAGATACAGTCCCTTCCGGTCCCGCTACGGGCTACACCCGTATGACTCAGTCCACCCCACCCACCTGTGGGCCACTCGCCCCGTCCGCCGGCCTCCTGACACCGGGCCGAGCGCGCCGCCGCGGGGGAGCCCCGGCAGGGGAAGTGTCCGGTACACCACACAGCCGCTCGCTACACCCACACACAGAGGCACACACAGCCACTCAGTCGCCGCTGCCGGCCGGGCCGCCACTGTTCACCGGCCGACGGCGGCGGCGGCGGCGGCGGAGGCGCGCAGCTCGATCCGGTGACGTCACCCGGCGGTGGGCGGGGCCGAGGGTAGCTGCCGAGGGGTGGACGGACGGACGGACGGACGGACGGCTGTAGGACTCAGTATTGTACATACTGCAGTTACGGCCCGATCACGGGGTCAAAGTCCCCATTGTGTTGGGTTAGGCCCTTCCGTGACACCATATCAAGACCGTGTGATAGGATGATAAGGGAGAGACGATGGTCTGACTCGACCCGCGGCTGGTGCGCCGCCCGCCGCGGCTGCGCCCATTCCGAGCGGACGGAGCGGCCAGCCAGCCGCTCAAACGGACTAACCATTACCAGACAGAACACGGTCCGAAACACAGTCCGCAAAACATAGACAGATACCCAATACCCAAAGGTAAGCACAATGATGAGCTATGCTGTCGGCAGACAACAGCACATTTTTTGTGTGCAAAAGTGAATACGATGTTTCACCGGTCCAAGACAAAACAACCGAAAGAATGAAAAGCTGCAATGAAATTGCAATGATCGAATGAGCTATTGGCTTTGTTGCAATCGAAAAAATATGAGTACCCGATTGGCCACCTTTAACACACACGTAATATCATACAAGTTTGAACGTCCTAGATGCATGGACATCACACTGTTCGGGGTACAGGACAGGGGCGGGGTACAGGACAGGGGCGGGGTACAGGACAGGGGCGGGGTACAGGACAGGGCGGGGTACAGGACAGGGAAGCAGTACAGGACAGGGGCGGGGTACAGGACAGGGGCGCGGCGGGGTACAGGACAGGGAAGCAGTACAGGACAGGGGCGGGGTACAGGACAGGGGCGGGGTACAGGACAGGGGCGGGGTACAGGACAGGGGCGGGGTACAGGACAGGGGCGGGGTACAGGACAGGGGCGGGGTACAGGACAGGGGCGGGGTACAGGGCAGGGGCGGGGTACAGGACAGTGGCGGGGTACAGGACAGGGGCGGGGTACAGGACAGGGACGGGGTACAGGACAGGGGCGGGGCACAGGACAGGGACGGGGTACAGGACAGGGACGGGGTACAGGACAGGGCCGAGGTACAGGACAGGGACGGGGTACAGGACAGGGCCGAGGTACAGGACAGGGACGGGGTACAGGACAGGGACGGGGTACAGGACAGGGCCGAGGTACAGGACAGGGACGGGGTACAGGACAGGGCCGAGGTACAGGACAGGGACGGGGTACAGGACAGGGCCGAGGTACAGGACAGGGACGGGGTGGGGTGACTGCAGGAATGAGGCCGACACTGTACATACTTCATTGGCGTGCCAATCACCTTCCCGCCTTTCGCCCGGACCCCACAACTCTCCTCAGTGAGACGCCCTGGCCACAACGGAGGGCTTTGTAAGCGCGCACCACTAGCATCTATGTTCTTCTCCCGTTAGGGGCACACAGGACACCTGGCTGAGTATGAAGGTATGATACAGTCTGCTCGTCGGCCAGTACCGTCAGTGGTCGCGTTCACCGCCCACTGCCCACCGAAAGTCACGAGCACCACAATACCTGCCAAGGTGGATTGCGATTTACCTGTTGCCTTGCAGCTCAGCGCCACTCGAAACAGTACCGCGGCAATAGATAGTACCCTGGCCTCCTTCCACAGAGGAGGTGTGGGCTCGCGCTAGCAGTTGGTGCCAGAGAATTATACCACCGCAGGTTTACTGCCACCGGCGAACAATGAACACCGAACAGTGTGCCGATTCTACCTAGGTATCCTACAGGTATTTTGTATATAGGTGCTCATATAGGGGAGAGAACCTTCAGAGCCGCTGACACACACACACACACACACTACTCTCTCCTCTCTCTCTCTCTCTCACTCTCTCTCTCCCCCTCTCCCTCTCTCTCCCCCTCTCCTCTCACCGGCAGCTGGTATCTGGCGCCCCCTCTCTCCCCGCTCTCACCGGCAGCTGGTATCTGGCGCACCCTCTCTCCCCGCTCTCAGCGGCAGCTGGTATCTGGCGCACTCCTCCCCCCTCTCACCGGCAGCTGGTATCTGGCGCCCCCTCTCTCCCCCTCTCACCGGCAGCTGGTATCTGGCGCACTCCTCCTCTCGCTGGTTTCTGGGGAAGTAGTGCGGCAGTAGCACCTCGTATATCCCGGCGTCCATGGCGTCCACAGTGAGTACGAGCAGAGGCCCGGCCGGGTCGGCGAAACGCTCCAGGAACCGGCGCACAGTGCCTGAAACACAGGGGTAACAGGGGAACATCACACAGTGCCTGAAACACCGGGGTAACAGATATACATTATACTTCACACCGTCCCTGAAACGGAATAATAGGGCAACAGCACACCGGTGCAGTACGAGACTGGAATGGGGTAACAGGGGAACATCGCACCGTGACTGAACATCGGGGTAACAAAGACACACCACACCGGCGCCTCGCAGCTGGAATAGGGAAAATTGACACCGCATCTTCAGATACACTGCCTGAACCACCAACTTGATACACTGGGAAACAACAAAATACACATAAACTGCAGTTCATATAGCAAGCCACAGCACCGCTAAACACCACATCAGTGACCAAATGCCCGAAATGAGTCAGCTTGCCGCACGTTTCGACGTCCATGCTGAGTGTCCAAGTATGAGCAATGTCGGACACTGACACGGTGTCTATGAATGACGGCTTGACGATTGACGACCAACGGTAACTTTGAGGCCATGCATGATTGACATTGTGAAATCTGGATTGCCTAATCTGGCTTGCAAGTTCTAAAGGAAAAAGGATCAGGGGTCGATAGCAGAGATTTGTGATAAAAATTACCGAAATATGATTTTGAAATACAAATTGTGTATTCAACAGCCGTATCTTTTGGATAATTTTTCGAACGCAGCCACCGTCCTATCGGATAAGAGGAGTGCATTGTGCGCATGTACATGATAGCGGACACCTGGGTATCTCACATCAATGAACTAGCAGTATGAGCGCAGCGTTGTAAAGTCCCGTCGCTATCCCAGGCTCTGGTCAGTTGTGGATTATTTCCCCGCACCCTAGTGGAGACCACCCTGGTACTGTGACTCGTGGCGACATCTGCGTCCGCATTGTACGGGGTTTCTATATCACAGAGGTCAGCACCTTGCAAGTCATTCCTGGCCTACTAGTCTTCTCGACGTTGCTTGCATTTGCACTGAATACGCCAGCAATGGGATTTAATCTCGTTAACGACGTTCTATCAAATCACCTAAGCTTGTAGTCAAATTATTGGAACAATTAGTTTTTACCAAGCGCAGATATCACATTTAATCCAATGAAAGCGTCATGCCGATTGGGCTAGGATATACATTGCATAGGTCAGTTGTAGCACAAGCAGTGATTGCGATACAGCAGAACAATGCATTCCGCACCTTAAATTGAGAGGTTCAAAGAATGAAACACAAACGGAACATAACCCGAATTATTTTAAACGCTCACAAAGTGTGGACCTCACAATGCATCCACTGGTGCCCAGAGTAGCACTACTGAGCGTCTCTCCTTTACCCGGTGTTGCTCGGCGTCCGCGGTACTCACGGAGCGCACTGTGGGCGCCGCACGGAGCGTCTCTGGTACTCACGGAGCGTCTCTGATACTCACGGAGCGTCTCTGGTACTCACGGAGCGTCTCTGGTACTCACGGAACGTCTCTGGTACTCACGGAGCGTCTCTGGTACTCACGGAGCGTCTCTGGTACTCAGGGAGCGTCTCTGGTACTCAGGGAGCGTCTCTGGTACTCACGGAGCGTCTCTGGTACTCACGGAGCGTCTCTGGTACTCGCGGAGCGTCTCTGGTACTCAGCGAGCGTCTCTGGTACTCAGGGAGCGTCTCTGGTACTCACGGAGCGTCTCTGGTACTCACGGAGCGTCTCTGGTACTCAGGGAGCGTCTCTGGTACTCAGGGAGCGTCTCTGGTACTCACGGAGCGTCTCTGGTACTCACGGAGCGTCTCTGGTACTCAGGGAGCGTCTCTGGTACTCAGGGAGCGTCTCTGGTACTCACGGAGCGTCTCTGGTACTCACGGAGCGTCTCTGGTACTCGCGGAGCGTCTCTGGTACTCAGCGAGCGTCTCTGGTACTCACGGAGCGTATCTGGTACTCAGGGAGCGTCTCTGGTACTCACGGAGCGTCTCTGGTACTCACGGAGCGTCTCTGGTACTCACGGAGCGTCTCTGGTACTCACGGAGCGCAATGTGGGCGCCGCATGGAGCGTCTCTGGTACTAACAGAGCGTCTCTGGTACTCACGGAGTGTCTCTGGTGCTCAAGGAGCGTCTCTGGTACTCACGGAGCGTCTCTAGTACTCAAGGAGCGTCTCTGGTACTCACGGAGCGTCTCTGGTACTCACGGAGCGCGATGTGGGCGCCGACGTCCGGCGGAAAGCCGCGGCGCGACGAGTGGAGGCAGGGCAGGCCGACACTGGCCAGCCGGTGGTCGCAGACCAGCTGCAGCACCTCACTGAAACACAGAGACAGACAGACACTGAGACAGGGGACAGAGACTCAGTGAGACACAGAGACTCACTGAGACAGGGGACACAGACTCACTGAGACAGGGGACAGAGACTCACTGAGACAGGGGACAGAGACTCACTGAGTCAGGGGACACAGACTCACTGAGACAGGGGACAGAGACTCACTGAGACAGGGGACAGAGACTCAGTGAGACACAGAGACTCACTGAGATAGGGGACAGAGACTCAGTGAGACACAGAGACTCACTGAGACAGGGGACACAGACTCACTGAGACAGGGGACAGAGACTCACTGAGACACAGAGACTCACTGAGACAGGGAACAGAGACTCACTGAGACAGGGAACAGAGACTCACTGAGACAGGGGACAGAGACTCACTGAGACAGGGGACAAAGACTCACTGAGTCAGGGGACACAGACTCACTGAGACAGGGGACAGAGACTCACTGAGACAGGAGACAGAGACTCACTGAGACAGGGGACAGAGACTCAGTGAGACACAGAGACTCACTGAGACAGGGGACAGAGACTCAGTGAGACACAGAGACTCACTGAGACAGGGGACAGAGACTCACTGAGACAGGGGACAGAGACTCACTGAGACAGGGGACAGAGACTCACTGAGACAGGGGACAGAGACTCAGTGAGACACAGAGACTCACTGAGACAGGGGACAGAGACTCAGTGAGACACAGAGACTCACTGAGACAGGGGACAGAGACTCACTGAGACAGGGAACAGAGACTCAGTGAGACACAGAGACTCACTGAGACAGGGAACAGAGACTCAGTGAGACACAGAGACTCACTGAGACAGGGGACAGAGACTCAGTGAGACACAGAGACTCACTGAGACAGGGGACAGAGACTCAGTGAGACACAGAGACTCACTGAGACAGGGGACAGAGACTCAGTGAGACACAGAGACTCACTGAGACAGGGGACAGAGACTCAGTGAGACACAGAGACTCACTGAGACAGGGGACAGAGACTCAGTGAGACACAGAGACTCACTGAGACAGGGGACAGAGACTCAGTGAGACACAGAGACTCACTGAGACAGGGGACAGAGACTCAGTGAGACACAGAGACTCACTGAGACAGGGGACAGAGACTCACTGAGACACAGAGACTCACTGAGACAGGGGACACAGACTCACTGAGACAGGGGACAGAGACTCACTGAGACAGGGGACAGAGACTCACTGAGTCAGGGGACACAGACTCACTGAGACAGGGGACAGAGACTCACTGAGACAGGAGACAGAGACTCACTGAGACAGGGGACAGAGACTCACTGAGACAGGGGACAGAGACTCAGTGAGACACAGAGACTCACTGAGACAGGGGACAGAGACTCAGTGAGACACAGAGACTCACTGAGACAGGGAACAGAGACTCACTGAGACAGGGGACAGAGACTCACTGAGACAGGGGACAGAGACTCACTGAGACACAGAGACTCACTGAGACAGGGGACAGAGACTCACTGAGACAGGGGACAAAGACTCACTGAGACAGGGGACAGAGACTCACTGAGACAGGGGACAGAGACTCACTGAGACAGGGGACAGAGACTCAGTGAGACACAGAGACTCACTGAGACAGGGGACAGAGACTCACTGAGACACAGAGACTCACTGAGACAGGGGACAGAGACTCACTGAGACAGGGGACAGAGACTCACTGAGACACAGAGACTCACTGAGACAGGGAACAGAGACTCACTGAGACACAGAGACTCACTGAGACAGGGGACAGAGACTCACTGAGACACAGAGACTCACTGAGACAGGGGACACAGACTCACTGAGACACAGAGACTCACTGAGACAGGGGACAGAGACTCACTGAGACACAGAGACTCACTGAGACAGGGAACAGAGACTCAGTGAGACACAGAGACTCACTGAGACACAGAGACTCACTGAGACAGGGAACAGAGACTCACTGAGACAGGGGACAGAGACTCACTGAGATAGGGGACAGAGACTCAGTGAGACACAGAGACTCACTGAGACACAGAGACTCACTGGGACAGGGAGAGAGAAGCAGCGCAGGCCGACACGGCGAGACTCACTGAAACATTTACACTAACGGACAATGAATCCAGAAGAAAGGCTCACGGAAAATGAGGACGGGGAATGGTAATGAGGCAAAAAGGGAGGACGATGCACCTGGCCAATACATTGGCGTTCACGTCATAAGGCCGCAGGCACGTGTTAACCGTATCAAGGGTGCAATGTGATCAGCCCTTGGTGAGACTGCATAGGCGGCGGAACGGGGGGGGGGGCACCGGGGCACCGTGCCCCCTTGAATTCTGCAAGGGGGCACCAATAGCAAGGTGCCCCCCCTTAAATTTGATGTATTAGTACCAGGGGCGGATTCGGGAAAACTCCAAGGGGAGGGTCATGAATCGAAGTGGTGCCCCTACCTATACCCAAAATCAAAATATCAACGGATTTCGGCCACTTAATTTTGGTGGTGCCCTATTTTCAGCTTTTTTTCTTTATTTTTGGTTAGTCATGTGATGACCGATGCCCCTGCTAGGCCGCTGGGTCCCCTGGAAAGACTGTGGTACCTACCTACCCTGCCCCCTGACAAGCCTACGGTGGGCCCTGACATGACTTAGATGCCCATGGGCCCTGGCAGGCCCGTGGTGCCCCTGACAGGCCTGTGGTGTCCTTGCTAGGCCTGTGGTGTCCCTGGGCCTTCTTGGCAGGTCTGTGGTGCCCCAGGCGAGCCTGTGGTGTCCCTGTTAGAACGCAGGTGCCCTTGACAGGTTTGTGGTGCCCCTGACAATCTTTAAGTGCCAAAGACAGGCCCATGGTGCCCTTGACAGGCCCATGGTGCCCTTGCGAGGCCGGTGGTTCCCCTGCGAGGCCGATAGTGCCCCTGGCAGGCCTCTGGTGCCCCTGGCAGGTCTGTGGTGCCCCTGGAAGACCTGTAGTGCTTCTTCTAGGCCGATGGTGCTCCTGACAGGCCTGTGGTGCCACTGATCAGATATGTATTCATCGAGGTCCACAGCAAAAAGTGGCTTTTCACCTGACACGTAAAGCAGATAAAACCGATAAAAAATAGGGTAAGTGGACAAAGCATCATCATAGCACACACAAATCACGCACACGACATTCAAACCAATACCATCTCAGTGACGTCTGGTAAGAATCGCGTTTTTTGCCTCTCGACGGAACGATGGCAAATACGGATCCAAGTTCATGTCGTTCAACATCGAGACCCCCCTGATACACAGTCGGCGCCTCCCCGTCTCGGTTCGGGGTCGTGGTTGTGTCAATCTGCCGGCGTGCCTTGTGTTGTGGTCATGTAGGTCGCGGGCTAATGGACCGATGGTTTGGCTGATATATTCAGGAGTTCTCGTAGTGATAGCTCGCTAGGCTGCGCAGATAGTGTGGTACTCGGCTAACTCATAAGCTCGCAACCAGCCGAGCCGCTCGATGACATCGGAGATGTGGTCACTGCGTCTGCGACCGCTGACGACCCGCGCACAAAAGTTGATGATCTGTACGCGAGCCATCTGTGTCACACCACACGTCCCGTACACATTCACGCAGTACCGCACAATGGAAAGAACCAGGGCCTGCACTACAAACCTCTGTGCTGGATGGCATCACGTGACGTGCGTGGGTGAGGGCGATGAGTATACCGGTGCATTATGAGGTCATGGCGTCAATGTGTGCCTGGTAACTCAGATGACGGTCGAGTTGAATTCTTAAGTTTTTCACAGTACCGGCATCGCCCACCACAGAGCCGCAGAAGTTAACGGTGACGGCTGGGAGGCCTCTTAACACAGCTGGGGTGCCCAAAACTAACATCTGCGTTTTGGCAGTGTTTGCTGTCATTCCGTTGTGACAAAACCACTGGTAAGCGTTATCGAGGGCAGTCTCCATGAGTGAGATGATAGTAGCCAGATCCCGTTTCTTACCGGTGACCAAAATTTGCGGGTCAATTGCAAATTGAACAATGGTGACGCCATCGGGCAAATGTAAGCTCAGGTCATTGGCGAACAGCATGAATAGCACACAACTGAGGCTTCCACCCTGAAAAACTCCGATTTTGTTTTCTCTGGGTCGGGGTTGTGCTGGAACCATCAGCACCTCGTACCGTAACTTGCTGCACGTGACCCGTCAAATAGTTGTTAAACCATTCTGTGTCTATTCCGTATACAGGCCCGTGGTGCCAATGCTAGGCCTGTGGTACCCCTGGCGGGCCTGTGGTGCCCCTGTCGGCTGTCAGGCCTGTGGTGCTCCTGGCAGGCATGCGGTGACCCCAGGCCCTAAGTCATGACCCATGTGACCTCCCCCCTGGGATTCGCCACTGATTAGTACTGTGATGGCTTCTTGGGAATTTGATACATGTAGGATAAATGGAATTTATCAAACGACAATAAGGAAGAGACAAACACATAGGCACTTGAGGATCAGCTTAAAGTTAACCACACATACGGGGGTGAACTGCCATTTTCGTTTAGTAAAAAAATAAAAATAAAAAAAATCAAAAAATCATCGTGTCAGGGCTGTGACGAAAAATAAGTGGCCTAAATCCGATGAGAAAACAAGATTTGGGGGTACCCTAGGTTTGGCTCCCTGAGCTGGTGCCCCCCCTTGTCTCAAATCGTTCCGCCGCCTATGGGTGAGAGCGGTCTCCGTGAACGTATCGACGTCGGGCCTCGGTTACCACTGGACCGACGTTGGCTACCTCACCAGTCACCAGTGACCCCAGACACCGAGTGGCGGGCAGGACCAGCGCGCGGCGCTGGCTGGGAGCGGCACCCGCAGACCTGGGCTCTGGGCACCTTCCGTTGAACACCCGATAGAGAAATATAATACGATGGCGATAGAGTTAGAAGTGGGAGCGAAAATCGGCCGGTGTCATCACTCATCATCATCATCATGTATGGCGAAACAAAACAGTCATAAAGAGTGTCGGTTATGTGTCGGCTATATGTGTCGGGCCGGTGTCCGG